GCCAGCGCCATCACCGGCGTCATCACCATCGCCATCACCGCTCTTCGAAGCATCACAAATCCTCCCACCACTCCCAGTCCGCTGCTGACCGTCTCCACCCATCCACTATGCCTCCCAACGATGCATTCCGCGAATCCCTTTTCGACGCCCTAGCTGACGATGAGGGCGCGGCATACTGGGAATCGGTATATGGTCAGCCAATCCACATCTACCCGCGTCTGGATCGCGGCGGGGAGTTGGAGCAGATGACGGATGAAGAGTATGCTGCGTACGTTCGTGCGCGCATGTGGGAAAATACGCATGAGGCTATTGCTGAGGACAGGGAACGGAAGCGGAAAGAGCAGGAGAGGCGGCGGGACGAGGCTAGGAGAGGAAATGGGACGGGGTGGGAGGGTGAACGTGAGGAGTTTGAGAGGGTGATTGAAGAGAGATTACGGAGGGGTCAGGAGCGGAAGATAAAGAAACGCAAGGCGGATGTTTGGCTGGATGTTTGGAGGCGGTATTTAGATAGTTGGGAGGATTTGAATGCGCGTGCCCGTGCTGCCGCTACTGCCGCTACTGCCGCTACTACTAGTGGTGGAGGTGCACCTTCACCCTCAGCTTTGACATCGAAAAATGGCGATTCTGTTACTGCTGCCACAGTGCTGGATCCCAACAAGCGCTCAACTGAAAATGACAGTCATGGAAAATTACGAAACCTCATTTGTTGGCCTGTTGAATCGGGGAAGCGCAGGGATATCACTCCTGAGGCTGTTGAGGCTTTCATACGAAATGCACCGATGCCCAGTCCCGCAGATACGTCTGGTTGCCTTGCGGGGAAGAAATCATGTTCTCACCCATCTGGTCTTCTTGCTGTGTTGAAGATTGAGCGTGTCAGATGGCATCCGGATAAAATGCAGCATCGATATGGATCGCTTGGCATGGAGGAGCAGATTGTCAAGAGCGCAACAGAGGTATTTCAGATACTGGATCGCATGTGGGTGGAGCAGCGCGGGCGGGCGGATAAGTGAGGTAAACGAAACGTTGTTTTAATATTCTCTTGGTCAACGCATTTCCAGGATTGGAAATTAGAAAATTTCTGAGGATCTACGCTCTTTTACGCCGTATAGGTTTGGGGGACATCTAAGTTCCTATGATGTTTAGTTGAACGTGCTGCCACACCAGAAGCCCAGGCGGCCATAAGACTGTTACCACCCTAATACGACACTTGGATGCGAAATTGCTTCATAGAATGACGAATTTTCTACGACCTCAATGCCTTCGTTGCAATGAAATAGCACGGACCACTGACTGCCTATTCTCTTACATGACATCACTGCCAAAGGTCTAGCTAGAAATTACTTGTTCTAGAATTAAGATGAAACGCGTACACTGCTTTCATTCTTCAGCCACATTCACCCGTGTCTTAATAATTCCTCGTCGAATGAATTTTGTCTATTTGTCGGCGACTCTAGCATCGACCGACACAAGATAAAAGCCGGAACCTAATCATGTTGACCACGTCAGGCTGCGTAACTTCGTGCTTGGGCTGCTCTTGGTTTTACCAAAAATATGGACCCTACCTGGTGACCTGAGAACTCAGGTCGACGCGACCGTCACGAAATAGCGGGCGAATAAAGTTGACGCATATGTAATTTACTGATGAGGATCGATGCAGTTGAACTCTCTGAATTCTTGCTGTCAGGTCAAGGTTAAGGTTAAAGTGAGCTCCAATGCAGAATAGGAAAAGTCCGAAAAGTGGTGGGACATAGCGTGAAAAATTGCGGGTCAGCTTTAAATCAACATCGTGAACAGCCTGAGGTTTTCAGTTTTCACGCCAATGACAACTGTAGTCGCAGACTTGCAATTGAACTGTGATGGCATATCACAACTGGATTTGCAATGGTCCCCTCTTGTGAGATTTGAGACATGAATGATTGAAGATCATTATCTCGCGTTCCCCTCTTTGGATCATCACTGCGAGTGTTTATCATCCCGTCACCCTGCCCCAACCTTAGCAGATAGCTGGATGAGGAGCTCTGAAATTTGGACGTTACTCTTAGCTCTTATTCGCTGAATTATGTCGATAAACTCCAGGCTTTTATGAGTGTATTGGTTCTTTATGATTTTCTGTCTCTGAACACATCATTTAAATTTGACACTCTCGCGTTAACCTGGTGGATTCAACCCGCGAAAATCTACGCCATGCGCCATGCCAGCCCTGCGTATCAGTGAAACCAAGGGTCTTGCACACCCTTCGATCTTGACGTACTTTTTCATGCGCCACCATGGATTTGACCGCCGCTGGCTGCCTAGTCATTTTGAACTCTGGGTGAACTGCCCTCTCAAAAAATGCGGCATTTTTGAGTTATTCGGTCCATCAGAGGCCTTTCAGCTACGCAGAGCCCAATTGCAAAACAGGGTCGAACTCCAGCGGGGCATTTTATATACCTTTTTTGTGGTTGTCAGCCCGCGTTTGTGGAGTACAGAAGCTACAAATAGCCGTGTGCCCCACTTGCTTCAGCATAGAAATATCATCGTGGGGAAAAAATTAGTCTTCTGGTAATGGCAGTTCCGGCGGTTTCTTTGTTACTTGAGACCACATGCGACTTCACTGATTTTAATTTAATATGTTGCTATATTTCATCCCATCCGTTTTGACTGTATTGTCGTTCTGCAAAAGTCTTTACGCAGCGGAGTGCCCTCTTCTTGGACCAATTTTCCCCCCACCTCGCGGACTTTCTTCCATTTCAACCTGGAAGAAAGCAATTGCGGAATTCGAGTCGAACCTCAAAAACCTTCTTAGCTATCCATCCGGCTTGGATGCTAACTCAACATCTTTTTCAATTAACATATTCTCGGCCTATGAGGATTCTTTGCTATACACATACTACCACGATGCTCCTGGTCTCAAGGGCTCAATAGCCAAAGGCCAGAAACTCAATGGTGATACAATGTATAGAATAGCCAGTGTCTCGAAAGTTATCACTGTATATACGCTTTTGATCGAGGAAGGTTTCGGCAAACTAGACGAGCCTATCGCAAGATTTGTTCCCGAAATTGTGGAGGCAATCAAGACGAATGGTGATAGCCCAGACGCTACACTCTTCCCACAATGGAGAGACATTACACTTGGCTCTCTTGCGGGACAGCTATCTGGACTTGGCCGAGGCAAGTTTTCCAGTTGTGTTGCATCTTCTCTGGATCTACCTATAATAACTTATCATTAGCCTATTTCAACGATCTCGCGTTCACTTTCAATCAATCGGAAACCACTCAGTTAGGATTTCCACTATTAAATGACTTTGAGAGACCCACATGCGGTTTCAAAGGATTTGTCTACAAGCCATGCAGTAGGAAAGGTACGTGCCAATGTAGACCTTGTTCATACGTTCGCATCACCACTAAAAGATCTCCTCTCCTTTCAGATATGTTCGAGGAGTTCATAAACCGTGATCCAGTGTTTGCTCCCTTCAGCACTCCGATATACTCTAATCCTGCTTATGATATCTTGGGATACGCTATTGAAGGGATAACAAAAGTTTCGTTTGAAGAATCAGTCAAGCGTTCGCTCATCGACCCACTCAAACTCAAACGTTTCGGAGTCAAAACGCCCCCTACGTCTTGGGGTATTATCCCATTTGATACTGTATCAGCTGAATGGAATGCTTCGCTTGACTCATCCAACCCTGCAGCGGGATTTTATTCAAGTGCGAATGACCTAGCTCTCGTGGGTCAGTCAATTCTCCAATCTCGTCTGATTTCGCCAGCGGACACCAGACGTTGGCTAAAACCTAATTCTCACACTTCCGATTTCGGAATCTCCGTTGGCAGCCCTTGGGAGATTTTGCGAACGTCTCATCCAAGAACAATTGACTTTTATACGAAAACCGGCGACTTGAACAAATATGGCTCGATCCTCGGCCTGAGCCCTGACCACGACGTTGGCTTTACAATCCTAACTGCCGGCGCTAACCCTGGTACCCAAAGATCACTACTGACGGACCTGATTATCGATTTGCTCAGGGACGCTTTGGACGAGGCAGCCAGAATTCGAGCTGTAGCAGACTACGCTGGAACGTACTCATCTTCCACAGGGACAGAAAATAAAAAAGCAACTATGCTGGAGATTCGAGGCAATAGAAAAGGTGAAATCCCGGGGCTCATTATTGACTCTATGTCCGTCAATGGTGTCCCACTGGAAGTTTACTTCTCTTCCCTTTTCCGAAGAACCGAACCCATATCGAAGATAGGTCTCCGCCTCCAGCCCACAGGGCTAAAAACAAAGTACACCGATAGTTCGTGCAAGTCAGTCATGTCACGAACATCCTTTCGTGTTCTTTTAGATATTCCAAACACAGTCGCTATTAACAATGTGACGACCGACTCGGTTTTTAGTGGCGTTTGCGGCAGCTGGGCGTCAGTTGATGGCGTGGCGTATGGGCGTGTCTCGATTGATGAAGTTGTCTTTGAACTGGATGAGATGGATAATGCTGTGGCGCTTGAGTTGAGGATTGCTAAACAGACCCTGTTGAGACAGGAAAGCAGGTCGTAATATTGGTTTCTTTCCGCTATGTATCTGTTTTTAAAAATACTCTTTTCAGGATACAACCGGGGTCATAAAATTAAGGTCTGTCTTGAACTATTTTTGCCATATATAAATGTAATTAGTTTTAACCCCGGGATTTATAATTTTCGGTTTCCTCAAATCCTTGTCTCCTGAAATCCAGGGGATGCATATCTGGAGGTGAGAGCCCGGAGGACGATCACACGCCTCTTTAACCGTATTGCCAAACCAAAAGGAAAATATTATTTAGCACCTATTTTACCAACTAATGTCTTTCATCTCCAGATAACTTTTTTGTGAAAATGGAATGCCCCTTGGAACTCAAGGCAGATCCCGAATTGATATCACGTGACATAATAATACTGGCCTGGATTTTGGAAGCTCCCAAGCTCTGGAGGCAACAAACGTCGAACGATCATGATCCAAACTCATAAACACAACTCATTTTACAGCCATGGCGTTGGTATCATATTCGGACTCTGAAGGCTCAGATTCGGAATCTACTCCCACTACTCAAGCTCCAGGAGAGAAGATATCTACCCTCCCCGCATCATCCAGGAGTACCACTACCAAACAAACCTTCCAACCTCTCATTGACCGAAAAAACCCACGCAAAATCCTTGTGAGCCTGCCCGATGTGCAGGGAGATAGCAATACTTATGATGATGGCGATGGTCCTGCAAGGAAACGCCTCAGGATAGGTACCCAAGGCGGTGGCGGTGCGTTTTCGGGATTCAACTCTTTGCTCCCCGCGCCCAAGCGGAAGGGGCCTGTTATTCAAACTGGAACAGATAAGAAAGGGGATGGGGTAGCAGCGGCACATGCGCGCAGGATTTCCAGTTTGAAGACGGGCGCAGAGCCAGGGTTTGATAGGCGGGCTGATGCGCAAATGAGGTCGGATCTTAATAATAAGGCTAACTCTGGGACAAAGGAGGGAGGTGGAGAAGGTACGAGCACAGGCAGTGGTAGCGGTGGTACTGGCGACGAGATAACTGGCGCTTTTGGGGAGAAGGTAGAAGAGAAGCTGGCTGTTAAACCCAAGGGAAATGCGATGATGTTCAAACCACTTTCAGTGGCTAGGGGTACCACGAAGAAAAAAGTGAAGACCACTGCAGCATCGCCCTCTCAAGCTATATCGGGGGGAGGAAAGCCTGCTTCAGTTGTTGAGTCTGCTGTCACAAAGCAGCAGATGAAAGTGTGCGATTCCATCGCTAAACCAGCTCAGAAACCAAAAGTTAGCCTTTTTGGACTTGGTAAAGAAGAAGAACAACCAGCACCTATTCCACAGGTTTCCTCTTCTACCTATAAACCTTTGGTATACAGCGCACCAGCAGGATCCCAACCCCCAATAGCAACATCAATGGTACCTTCAGGATCCCAACCGTTCGATCCACCTGCGTCTAACCAACAACAACAGCAGCGGCAACAAACCCTTGCCAGCATAGCTGATGATCTAAACCTCTCTCGCGCCGAAAAGCGCCAACTGCTCGGTCGCCAAGGCGCCTCTTCATCTAATTCCACTGGTGCAGAACATTCCAACCACAACATCATCACATTCAACACAGACCAGGAGTACTCCTCAAATGCTGCATATCTCCTGTCAGCATCAGAAGTTGAGCTGGCCGCCCATCAACATAATCCCGTTCGTGCGATTGCTCCGGGTAAGCACAGTTTGCAGCAGTTGGTTAATGCGGTTAGTAGTCAGCGCGAGGCGCTGGAGGAGAGCTTTGCGACAGGAAAAAGGAATAAGAAGGAAGCCGGAAGTAAGTATGGATGGTAAACAGATGTATGTGTATTTTTGCTTGGGCTTGGGATTGGGACCGGGCTGTCCCTGAAAATATGGACGGGAGGTTATCGGAGGTCCCTATATCCTTCTCCCAGAGAGTATTCTCTCCCAGGTCTTATACACAGCACATTTCTAGCACTTAGTACGACTTGGTCGACGGGGAAATGGAGGGCATATTAGTCTGTCTCATGGTTGGTATTTGGAGTTTTCAAATTTGATTTAATTTGTTGCATTTGGGTAGCCTGCAATATAGAATCTGATCAGAGCGCTAACTTGCTCATTACTGTCACATATTCCTGTGTTGCATTATGAATATAAAAATTTTATATAAATTCATTCTAAATATCTTTTGCTCTCTACACCAATCACCACTGATCGGCGATTGCGTCTGTTCATTGTAAATTAAAAGGCTTTAATGAATAATTCTACACTCAGGGAACTATGAAGTCAATATAAAATGATAAATAAAAATGACTTTAGTAAATATAGTTAACTAGTTAGTTACCTAGTTAAGTGTAAAAAAAAGAGAAGTTAGCTAAGCAAAACCTGGCAACTATGCACAAGAGGTATTATAATAGAAAATATCATTCAAACATCGCTAACAAGTAGAGGAGTACTCAACCCAGAACCCAGTCTATAGTGGTAATGCAATGGTACAAAATTCTACCCGGATACATCTACAACCTCCGCAAACCATTGTTTTAACGCCAGACTTAAAATAGCCGGTAACTCCTGTACAGCCCTAACCACAAGATAATACGCAAATGGAAACCCTTCGAGATAGCGCTTCATTTTCAACTTCATCTCCCCATTTCCCAGGCCGTCAGGCTCGAAACTAGCTTGTGTTAAATCAAGAATAGAATTACCTTTCTCTGCATCGACAATGATAAATACTATCATGATTCGCTCCTCCTGTGCCTGTCGAACTAGCCGGCGAATGGTTTCATGATCTTCACAGATTCCATCCGATATGATGAGTTCCAGCTGCCAGAGGTCTCTACTTCCGCTCGAACGTGAACGTTTCACTTTTGCCTCTCGGAACAGAGCAATCGAGTCTGAAATAAGCTTTCGAACATTTGTGCCAGTCTGTTGGTAGCTGAATTGCTGGAAGATCCGGACGCCTGCTTCAGATGAGAAAGGTTTGCCAAATTCATGAGCCACGCGAACGTGGTCTTCATCTCCAAAACTGAGAACGCAGAGATCCCCTGCCTCTAGCATGCTTAAACTTTTTGCCACAAGGGCCAGTGTCTCGAAAGCGAGTTGGCCGCTGCCACTCTCGAGCATTGATTTGCTGTCGTCAACGGCAAGCATGATCTGGTAACTTCGCTTCGAAGGGGCAGATCGTCGCATCCATATCTTGTCACGTTTGTATTGAGATGCGATGTACGGAATGATTCGCTTGATGTTGAGCCGTTTTCCGGTCCGGAAGTCACCCCGAAGCTTCGTCGCCATTGTAGGCGCAAGGATTAGCCGTAGCTGTTCGGTTAGCGCGAGAGAGAGGTCGTGAGTAACTGACTCGTAGTGAGACCACAGTCGTTGGGCTTCCTCCCGGGGTGTCAATGGAGCCAATTCTGAACTGACGTGGAGCTCAGATAAATGAGTATCCATGTCTTCCACTTCTTGAGACTCCTCGGTTTGACTCTTGTGATCGCCTGGCATATTGTCCCTAAACTTGTCAGCCGCAACAAGTGAACTCGACGCATGGTTCTCTGGTAAACCTGGTTTCTGGTCCAAATCCATTCGGTCCTCTAAGGATGGTTGAACAGGGAGATTTTCAAGTTCGCCAGCATCTGGAAGGAACTCGCTTTCTTCTAGATTCATGTCGGATTCCACAGCGTTGGTTTGATCAAGAGTTTTGGCCTGTTCCTCGCTTGCTTGACCAAGAGCTTGAGTAACTGCAGTATCCTGATCGTCGGCAAGATGCTCAAAATCCGCGTCTTCCATGTTGGCATCCTGTGTTTGATTCTGCGGAGTTTTTTGGTTTTCAGAGGCTTCCTTGATCTGTCGTTGCCGGCGATGCCATTGCTCGAGAATGTCGCCAAGTTTTTTGAAAGTTTGTGTTTGAGAATCATGAAGCTTGCCATCATCTCGACCGCCCAATGCATCACTAGCATCCTTCCCGTTTTCACCCTGGTCAGCATTTCCTGTCGGCGAGTTGTGCTCCTGATCCTCGTCTTTAGAGCCATGCTCCTGAGTTGCCTTGCCAGATGCTCCCTTTTCTTGATTTTGATCTTGGTCGACACCTAGACCATCAGGAACTTTCTCACTTGAAGCGACACTCTCCAGATCTGCTTGACTATCTGTTCTTTCCATTTCCAAGAGTCCTTTCTTCTCCTCCTCTGGTACTGTCTCGGCCTCAGCCTCAGGTTCCCCTTGGTGGGTCTCACCATCCTCACATTCGTCGCTGGTTTCTTCTTCATGGTCTTCACCCTCGTGTTGCTTTTGAGAATCGGGATCCTGGCTGTTATTTGGTTCTGCAGCGTCCGGTTCGCCTTCCCATTTGCTCTCATTATCATCTGACATGTTCCCTAGGTCATAACCCAAATCAGAGTCGTCTTTACATTCGTTTTCTGCCCCACCCAGCTCTATGTCTTCGGGTAAATCGAGAACTGGTTCTTCCTTTGCATGCGGATCAGCTATATCCATATCTTCCCTACCAATGGCTTCTCCTTCATCATCAGGAGGTTCCGAGTCCTCGTTTTCGATTTCCTCTCCGTTTTCATCTTGACCATTTTTCCCAATATTTTTGTCAGAGGCAGCAGTTTTATCCCCCGATTCCGGTTCTCCTTTTCCTTGGTCATTTTCAGTATCCTTTTTTTCTTGATCCTTTGATCCGTCCCACATCTTTTCATCAACTGTGGACACGTCCAGCTCATCAACACTACCAGTTTCTTCATCAATATTCATATCGTCCTTTTCCTCTTGGTCTGAGCCATTCCTCTTGTCCTTCTCCTGTTCGTCTTCAAAATCACTCCAATCTGCCTCAAGATCCTCTTGGTCCATGTTCACAGCATCATCTGCGTCTTCCTGTTCGTCCTTCTCCCCATCCTTTTTCTGCTTCTCTTGAGCTAATTCAGACAAATCCTCGTCATCCTGTACATCTTTGCTAATATCTTCAGCCCCCTCTCCACCTCCAAGTCCAGTCCCGTTTTCCAACTGGTCTGACTTTCCCTTCTCACCTGAGCTCTCAGAAGGGCTACAGAAGCCCTCTGAGGCGATATGGTTAAATGACTTTGCTAGGAGATAAGCCATTTTACAAATCTCCCGATGAAGGGTGGAATATCGGTGGAGAATGTCATTACATATCGCCTTATATTGTTCTGTGAGTGGCATTACAACGGATACCGCAGCGCCAACCACTGCAAGACAATTTGGATTTGTCGCAGATATATGCTGAATCCGAGCTAACACTGAGCAAATGCTAGTGGCTACATCCATCATGTGGAGCTCTGCACAGGCTTTTGATATCGCTTGTTCGGATTTTGCCAGCCAGGCTGGGGTATCTTTGGATGACGGAGCTGCTGATAGGGAAGAACTAATCCTTTGCATGGCAATGAATATTTTGTCCATTGCGGTTAAGAGTAGAGAGTCAAACTCTTGGAGCGAAATGTTGATTTGACCGTTGCAGTCTTGTGCTGCAGTTGTAGTGCTCGATTCTGTCCACGGAACTATCTTTTCCAACGCGAAAGCCATCTCAGCATGTTTATTGATCCATCTCAGTACATCGGATCGTATGTTTGTAACTAATCTCCGGGCATCGGAAAATAGTTTCTCATGGGTGCTTGTAGATAACCCAGCTGGTAAAGCTTCCAAGTTTTCAATTGAGGCTAGTAACGATCTAAGGTCCTCTTTCCAATAACTTAGTGCTTTTAAAACTTCAGACGAATCAATCTCAGCAAGGTTTGCATGAATCTGAAGGGTAGAAATGCAGACACCAATGACAGTAGAAAGCCACCGTATCGATCCTCGAAGGTCACGGTGATCTGAAGCGAAGCCGATACTTTTGAATAATAGATCATTTTCAGGGTTGGATACAATCCTCATTTGTCGCACCGTGGATTCTATCGCGGTATAGTTGTCCAATTTCGACGACAGCGTTTCTCTTTGCTTTAATATCCAATGAAGGAGTGCCTCAATAGATCCTATGCTCCTTGCAACTTCAACGTTACTAAGGTCTTCAGAATACCCGTGCGACAAAATCCGCACTCTGGGCACCAAGTCCAAAAATCGGTGGAAGTAAGAGTCCGCACTTCTGATTTGACTTGATGCAGTTGATGGCATGAGACTGCGAGTCGTAGAGAGTACAGCAGCGACAGATCTTTGACTATCAAGAACATCAGTCCCGACGTTAGAACGAATCCCCATGAAACGAAGGTCTTTAAGCTTTTCCGCATAAAATCGCTTTTTCCTATTTTTCAGGTGCTGGATCTCGCCTTTGTTTTCATCTGTCAGGATCTTTGGAGTTTCTGATTTAAATTCGGCTATGGTATCAATTACGTCGCGAGTGAACACGTCAAGCTCCTCGTGGGCCAATAACCCGGTTAGAGAATTTTCGTACACTCGTTGCATACTCTTGACCGCCCCATCGGGGTCCATAAATCGAATGGCTCTCTGATCCCAAGCATGGATATTCTCGCGGCATATGTTAAGTGCACCAGGAGAAACAGGGCTGGGAGGTAAGATACGGTTATCCGATAAGGGCTCTGTGTGATCCGGCAGCTCAGAGAGCCCCTTTGTCAACAAGCCTTCTGAGGACTGGCCAAGAAGACTGCGATACTTTCGAACGACTTTGAACAATTTATTATGAGAGCGACGTGCACTTTCTTTAAGAGCGTTAATATTTGTGTCTTTCCAACTTGCCAACTGAATAGTTTGCTGAATATCATGCTCTAATGATTGTCGACCCTCATTGAGTGATTTTTCAATCATTGGCACAAAAGGGAGGTAGTGGTGAAGAAGGTTGTCTATGGCGCCGCTCAAATGGTCTAGGGGAG